ATGGAAACCAATTTGACAATAAATTTCATATTAAAAAAATAATTCAAACTACGGCCAAAGATATAATATTCTTAACCCCAAGAATAGGACAAGGATTCCTACAGAAAGGGTATGTAAATTAGTAATAAAAAAAAAATCAACAAACCCGGTTTTAGTTTGGATTCTGCTTCAAATAGAGATTTTATCTTAGGAAATCACCTAATTTCAACCTGGGATAAAGTAACAGATTTCTAAAAAATACTTTTGCAGCAAGAAACCTTATACAGAGACTCTATAGGAATGAAAATTCTACCACTTAGTTGCTTGGGAGAAAAGCAAGTACATTAGCTTTATTTAACTGATGAGACTTTTTAAAACAAGTCTACTTTAGTCTATCTAGGAGAGAAATAATAATGCCCACAGAAAATACAGGTAAGAAAAGAGTTAACACCTTTATTTTATCCAGTGGAGGAATATACAGTGCATCCAACTACCCTATAGGAGCTCATTTTAAAGGAAAGGAGTATTAGTTTTCATTCCTTTTTGTTAACTATTTTCATAGACAGACTTTACGGATATACAGGAAATCATTTTAATGTAAATATTATAGTAAAAATGAAAAAACAATAGTTTTGCTAATTCGTGTCTCTGACAAAAATATCAAATAAAAAAATTATAACCAAAGCATGCTGGAAAAGTGGCTGACTCCCTGTCTGAGGTAGGGAAAGTACAAGATGAGAGAGGAACATCATTTATGCAAAAAAGCTGCAGAGACATTATGAGAATAAAAAAAACCCCGATGGTAGTAGGTTACAACAAAAAACTAAAGAAGACCAACGAACCATAGCGATATTAAAAAAGGAGAAAAGTCTACCGAAAACTGACAGCTAATAAATGTATAAAAATGATATAATCATTTGTAATCACTTCTTGTAACATTTACTTCAGGCAAAGATTATTAATGGATGCTAAGACCACTGGATGATAACTTTTGGTAGAGAGTATAACTGTACAGTCTTCAAGTATCTCCCCCAGTTATTTATAAAGTTTACAAATGGAGAGTTCTGGTCTTACCACCATAACCATGTTGTCAAGCTTAGCTTCAACTAATGCACAACCTGACATTATAGCTCCCTGACGTGATGAAGTGGAAGATACCCATTATCACCCTGCCAGAAATGATCTGAGTCGAATCAAAAAGAAATGATTACAAGAATCCATATGTGGAATATTCTGGATTCTACAAAGGATTCTTTGTCATACACAGAGGAAGACAGAGGACTGGGTTACATTGAGGGAGACTACAGAGACATAGTAGTCAAATGCAATGATATATAAATTTGGGTTGGATCCTGAATTTAAAAAAACAAAAAGCCATAGCCCGCATTGGGCTCCACATACAGCGTGGGGCCTCCTTGGGGCTCTCTCTCCCCCTCTCTCTCTGCCCCTTCCCTGTTTGCATTCTCTTGCTCTCATAATAAATAAATAAACTTTAAAAAACAAAACAAAAAAACCCAAAACCAAAAAAAGCTGTAAAGGATATTTTAGGAAAATATGAGTATAGATTAAAAATAATACTGATTTTTTTTTTTAAGGTATGGTAATAGCAGTATGATTGTGTAGTAAAATGTCCTTTCTCAGGGAGAAAAAATGCCAAGATATTTAGGAGTGAAGTGTCATGATGTCTGCAGTCCATGTCCAAATGGCTGGCAAAAAGAGTGCGTATGTATATAAAGACAGATGGAGTGTGTGTGGCAAGACATTAAGAATTATCTGGCTAAAGGGTAAATAAATGTTCACTGAACAACGTTTAACCTTTTTATGGGTTTGAAAGTTTCTAAAAATAAAAAAATACACAATTAATGGGAAACAATTATTCACAGTGATTGAGGGTAGAGCTCAAGAATCAACAGACTTGTATTTACATCTAGTTCTGCTACTTCATAGAGGCGGAACCCTAAGCAACCTAAGTATTTTGGTTTTAAAAATGGTTTTTTTTCATTTTTAAAATGGGTTTTTGTGGTTTCTTCCTCCACAATTCATGTTATACTTTCAAACTTTACCACCCCACTTATGAACTGATCCATACCCATACCAGAGAAAAGGCAACTAGATATAGGTCGTCCTTGTCTCTTTATATGAACGTAAACCTACATTGCTCAGACAATTTCAACTTCCATAAGCCTTACAATTCAAACCAACAAACAACTCATTAATTAACACAAAAATATCAGATTTAGTCTTGATAACAGACTTGAAAATAACAACATAATTCACAAATTGTATAAGTGCCAGCATTATGTGATCAAAATAATGCTGGGCTTAGTACAGCAGGAGAAGGTATAGGTGTACAAGTTCTGGCTTTAATTAGTATGTAACTTTGAGGGAGTCAATAATCTCTTGGAAGCTTCAGTTTCTTTACCAGTAAAATAAGAGGTCACACCAGATTTCTCCAGTCTTAAGCTGCTCTAAGATACTGCAAGCCAACAGGTTTTTTTCCTCTTAACTTTTTATGCATTCTAAGTTTCTTTCTGAAGCTTCCTTTTAATTTTACACTTCAGGTGTGTTAATCTTCACTATATTCCTAGCCTAACACCCCCCCCCCCTCCAAATTCTTCTACTCCCACCCAGGCCCATACTAGCTAAAATGGTAGGGACTGCTTTCCTGAGATAATTTTTATTTGAAATTTAGCACAATTGATGCAATTAGCTGATAGTTAATTAGTTATGTCCATCAGGCAAAAACTTAGGTAATATTTAGTTGTAAGTTGTGAAATTCTGTAAACTTTTGAATTTTAAATAATTTTGAAGTTTAAAAACTCCTTACTTCCTTCCTGGTTCTTAGGGTAACATCTTGCACAAGCCGAGACACTGTTTCTTTCATTTTCTCTATATCTTCTTCTTTTTGCTTCTCCTCAAGTAGAGCCTTCAAAAAAATAATCACTTGATGTCATTAAAGATCACACCATTATTAATAAAGGTAACATAATAAATGGTTAAAAATCTATCCAATAATCACTTTGTGGAAAGCAAACATCTTATGGTAAACTTCTGGGACATCTCCACTTGGAATCTTGCCTAATCTGTTATTTTCCCTCATCTTCTCACCTGGCTTTATCCTAAAAATTTATTATTTTCCTCTGGTATTTATTTCGGCCAGGGCCATCACTCTTCTAACCCCTAGAAATCTTAGAGTTATTTTTCAATTTTCCTTTTCCTTTACTCCCTGTACAAAATAAGTCATCAAGTCTAGGTATTAAAGTCTTGGAAAAAAATCTCTTGGACTTCCCCTTCTTTCCATTATTTGATATTATTCAAATTATGTCCCTTGTCACCTCATTCCTTGATGTTTCTATCTATCCAATCATTTTCATCTCCCAAATAAAAAATATTATTATAATCCTAGTTCTGTTGTCAGTCACACTCCCATTTCTCTGCTTCTCTCTGGAGTAAAACTCTAAATTCTGCACTTGCTCATCTCCAATACTTTTTCTTACACCAACTCCAATCAGGCTTTCAACCATCCATTGTCTCCATATTAATAACCTGTGAGTCAATTCTGAGTAACTATCTTATTTGATCTGTCAGCAGCACTTGAGATAACTGATTACTCTCTTTTCTTTGTTTTATTTTCTTTATTCAGCTTTTAGAACACCACAGTATGGGTTTTCCTCCTAACTCACTGATCACTCCTTTTCAGTCTGCATTGCTGTTTCTTCCTCTTCTTCTAAACCTCTTTAAAAATTGCACTATCCATCAGAGGGGAGATGGGTGGAGGGATGGGTGAAATAGGCTATAGGGATTAAGAAGTGCACTTGCAATGAGCACTGGTAATATCTGGAATCGCTGAATCACTATGTTGCACACCTGAAACTAATATCACACTGTATGTTAACTATACTGAAATAAAAAAAAAATTGATTACCCAAGACTTAAGTCCTTAATCCTTCATTTCCATCTATCCTTTTATGGTTTAATTCAGTATCATGGTTTTAAATATCATTTATATGCTGATAACTCCCAAATTTATACCTCTAGACCAAATATCTTTCTGAGCCTGGAAGTGCTCCAATTCT